CTACGTTATTGCTTATCAACATCCAGTTATACGTAACATTGGTACTGTATTGTTGGACTGTTAGAGCTAGTTTGCAGTTAAGGCGGGCAACGGCGTCAATTCGGGTTAACGCAAACTCAATTTAAGTTTAGTGCGTCTAGCTCATACGTTATCACTAGAAATACCCGCGTTCGACATTGTTGAACTAGTAACTACATTACCATTGTAATGTATTTAGAAGTTTTGTAATGAAATTGCATATAAAAACATTTATTTATTTTGGAACATTCTAGGATATCAGAGGGAGGTATTATCCGCTCTATTAAATGTGTTAAAACCACCAAACATTAATTAGTTACTTTTTCGGGATTTCCGAAAATGGTTTTACTGCATGGTAGGTCAAAACTACTGACCTAAGAAGTCGAAGTTGAATTTTAAAGTTATTCTAAATGGTACCATGTAAATAAATGCAGTAGATAAGTGGCCTACGGCGGCCCACCTCTAGCCGCATAACGAGCTCTAGTGCGCGGGCGCCAGCGGGGCATGCATGAGACGCGGGCACGGCACAGACTTCACATCTGGTGAAGTTACACAATGCCCGATAAATCATACTCAACACCAGACTGCTACACTCGGAAGCAGGCGCATACCCATAAACTTTCCATAAATTAACGCAAATTTCCATTATAATCAGAGTCATAAGAACAATAGACGTTCCGTACCGACACCAACTGATAAGTTGCGTCGTTGTTCTTATTAAAATGTTTATTAACTTAAACAATGCCAGAAGAACATTAACGTAAAGTCAGAACAATTAGTCTTAAAATACAAATTAATTCTTAGATAAGTGGTTAATTATTACTTCAATCCATTCACCAATATACTTTGGAACACATTTCAGTCTTTAATACTAGCAGTAAGAAAGTTTCAGTTGGTTAAGCCACCCCTCAACAGACCTTTTACCAAAGCAAAGAATAAAAAAGTAACGACAGTCACTCTAGTAACACTATCTGTAAATCGACATCTATGAGCGAGGTGCTGGTAGCTATAAAGGTAACCTGGCTGAGTGAAGAAACAGATTTCTCATAGATGGCGGCAAAAAAACTACGGCAAAAAAAGTCAGACAAAAACCAGATCTGCTACAAGCACATGCAAATGTGCTTGTAGCAGCAATGCATGTTTCGTGGCTTAGTTGACATAGCATCCGGCACGGTTTTCTAGAAGACGCTGGTTCGAATCCAGCGGGATTGAAGGATTTTAATTCTAAGTGACCACATGACATGACTTCATTCATTTTTACTTTTCTCCGTAGCGCCATCTATGAGAAATCTATTTCTTCACTCAGCCAGGTACCTTTACAGCTACCAGCAGCTGACTAAGAGATGTGGCATTAGTTACTAGTGCGACACTCGTTACTTTCTTATTCTCTGCTTTGGTAAAAGTTCAGTTATCTACTGCATTATTTTAAATGGCATCATTAGAATTACATTAAAATCCAACTTCATAGTTTTGTCCTACCATGCAGTAAAACCATTTCCGGAAATCCCGCATACGAAAAGTAATTATTTAATATTAATGGTTTTAACAACAGTATATCGCTCCTTGTAACTATATCTATACAATATGTATCTATATAACACACCTTGTGGTACACCTTTTTCCGACCAATGATTATAATGAGACAAAAGCACTGTTCGCGTTAGCCAGAATTGAATTTTAATATATTAAAAGTGTATTTTGCAATAGGGACGCACGCAATATAGTTCATGTTATCCACTAAAGCAGTTCTCACACTATATAATCGGTGTAACGGTTCAATACATTCACTATTACTTAGAATTTCACAGCTGCCAGATTTATACACCAAACTATAATACTACGAAGTTCCACTACGTGTCACAAGTTTTTACTTAAGCTTAAATGCGAAACTACGTGTAAAAAATTGTCCATTTCATTCTCTCATAAATGTGGTGGCATTACTTATTATATTATGATTATTGTGATGTGATTTAGGAGAAAGAAAGTGCAAGAGAGAAGTTAGTCTATAATACGATAATGCGTTAATGCGCGCCAGTTTAACTTATTTTAAATTAAGTACATTTCTTGTGGCCGGTTTACAGCATTGAAGTGATGTATACTTAAATAAACAAACAAGTCAGTGACCAGACCATAGACGATTTAGTGATGACCAATTTTACTGCCATCTACAAATCAATTAATTAAATGAATGAATCTTTTTTTTTAACTGAGCTGTACTAGCGGTTTTCATTACATTAACCAATAAAAGCATAAATAAAATTTCCGAAATCTGTCTTAATTTTAAATCCTCCTTCAAATCCTTACACTTAGATACATACTTGTTCGATTGCGGTTGAAATTTTCGATTTACTAATTGATTACAAAAACTTAATTGAATGAACAGAATGTTTTTTTTCCGTACATCACCATGCAACCATACATCTTTAAAAAATAACCTCACTTTTTGACTACCGTTTTTCATAGGAGATAAACTATTTTTCCGGATTTGTATCGCATATATTTGTTTTTTGAAACAAACCAACATTACACATGCACAGGTCCAATGGTCACGGTTGACTATTTAAATCAGGAAAAATAGTTTCATTTCCTATGTGTAACAATCGCGAAAACCTAATAACCCGTTACCATTTTTCTAATACGATTGTACGATGTTATTCAAATTAATATTGTTGGAAAAAGTGGCGAGATCAAGTCAAAATCTTGGAAATATACGTGAAAGTGTTACTGTTATTTGATTTATTGAGTGATTTACTATCGAAATTCAACCGTATTGTTTTGTTTACATTTCGTTTAAAATGGATTAGAACAGACTACAATTAACTACAGGCCTACCACTTAACTGAGTCAGTTCTTAAGGAGTGACAGTTTAACGTAACAGTTATGTCGCGCTGCGCACAGAAAAAATTTCAACAAGATTTATTCTGACAATATTCAATAACAAATTGGTTGAGTGAAAAAATTGGCAAATGGCTTGGCTATTCACATAACAACAATTGACTAATTTAGATCACATTGGAAGGTTTTTTTAATGGCTAAAACAGAATTTCGTATTTGAGTCATTCTTGAGTTTTGTTGCTTAATTCCGGTGGCAATTTTTATTATACTAAACTATTTGAGTATTTAATCGTGAAATATTAAACAATAAAATAATATAATAATAAAATATTAAATAATATTTCACAATAATATATTCAAATACTGCCACGGAAATTGGACATAGTTATGCGAACAAGAACCAACCCACACCGAGTGAAATTGAGTTATTTATTTAGGTAGAACACCAGACGTGTCCTTTACCCGCTCACAAAAGGTCCTGGCAATATACCAAGCCAAACCGGAGAAAATAAAAGTCCTTCAGGGTACCAACCCTAAATAAGTAACTTTTTGATAGCTAAAAAGAACCATGCTGCTTAACTTCATATAATGTAGTTTTAAGATTTTTGGCGTTTTCATTAGGAAAACTAGAACATGGTTCTCGTTAACAAAATAAAAAGATACATAATGTTTTCTATTTATTGCTGTATAATATAATAGTTTCCCTATATCATTCTCAATGCTACACGTAACTCACGTTGTTTGTCTGAATTAAATTACCTATTTATTTCTTCAGTTTTTAGAAAAATCAAATTATCTCGAAAGTGACATTTTGTGGGTTGGTTCTAGTTTGCATAACTATGTCCAATTAGGCAGTGAATACTAAGCCGAGAATGAACGATTTAATTGTCGTAAACGACGACCACTAGAGACAATGGAAACATTCCATTTTGATTCCGAATATTCCTGTCGAAATTGACTCACTCATTGTAAAAAACTGACGACCGGGTCATCTTCTATCTTCCGGGTCAACACTACACAAAAGCGTGAATATGCTGTGGCCAATCACACACGATCTTTCTACGTGCATTTTCTTTCTCCTTCGATCACATCAGCAGAAAGCCCAAGCTATGATTGTCAACTATGTTACTGAACAAATAGAGGACATTGTGCAATATACATAGATGGTACAAAGCGACATTGATATAAAACCCTTTTTTTAATTGATTTTGTGTAAACCGAGTTGCTTTGAGTTCAAAGATACTTTATTCTCATTCATACAATTGTCACTTACATGGGAACTTAAAAACTAATCAGTAAACTAACAATATTCCAGTCCAAGCCGTGGTACCAACTACACAAAATTGCTTTAACAAATCGATACCTCCTATAAATACTACGCCTACATTTTTTTTATGTTATTTTTGTAAACAGCCATATTTATTTACTAGTATTACGCTCCCCGAATTTTGTCAAAAAAAATAAAAACAGAACAGGCCCAAAAATGAAACTGACGTAGTGTTCATAAGAGATATAGAAATAGGCAGAGAAAATGTTCAGCTCGGGTGAAACCTGGCGGAAAAACTCGAAGCGGAAGTTACACTGACGAAGACGAAGACGAAGTAGACTGGTGCAAGACCCTTGTTCGGTATAGAACAAATTCTGAATTCGACAGATCTCAGAGAGCTTCAGCTTCAGAGATCGCTATGCGACAGACTATAACCGTCAAAACTTCTTTTGTGTTCTTGTTTCGGCGCTTAACGGTTAAGAGTGGGTAGTCCTAATTAAAATGTTTCCCATACTGAGTCGAGTGGCAGCGTGGCTTTATCTCAGAATTTATTTTAATACAAACGAAGTTTAAGCCATGTGAAAAATGTCTATCGTACACCATACGTGTTCTATTTAACTCAGTTTATATAAAACTAATCATTTCTTGTAAAATTTCGAGGTAAATTTGTTTTGTTTTTTTTTCTATAGTGAAATGTTTTAGGAATCGTGATACCACAGCGTATAATCCGTTCACTATTAACATTTTCCAAAGCGATTGGTTCACTTCAACTGTTGTGCAAAATTAACCAGTAATTTGTGGTTTTAAATGACAATTTCGCATGTTTCCTTATGTTGGAGCTTATGGTAGACAACATTCGCAACGGGCAAACATTCGCAATAACTTATTGGTCTATATGAGCTGTTAAATCATAATGAATAAGGATTTAGATTGGCTAACAAAGAATACGCAAGTAGACAATGCATCTCGCTTAAACACAAACTCAATCTAACCATAGCCACATACCTGCAATACTACAAAACTTTGTCTAGCTTGAACCTCGTCTACGGTGATTTTTTAACTTCTTTTGCATAACAAAATTTATTGTCGGTTACGCAATTTGAAGATGTCAAATTTTTTAAGTATGTCTAGCAGTGTTCAATCTAAATACGTAAAAACAGTTCAACTTAGATAAAATTTTGATGTAACGTAGTACATTTTTAAATATTTATAAGACATTTTATTTAAATATATAAGTTAACGCCTATCGGTCCACATCCAGCAGAGGCCTTGGCCTGTGTAGCAAGGTACCCAGCGTACTCTGCGTTTGCGGGTCGAGGCTTTGTCCTCGGCGTCACCTTGAGTCTTAGACTTGGCCTTCGACTTGGCTTTAGACTTGGCCTTAGACGGGGCCTGAAGCGGGGCTTCAGGCGTGGGAGCCCTGGGTCATATAACACGCTCGCATGCTGCTCGACTCACGGACGCCTCATGCTATATGGCTTGTTGTAGCTGCCCCTTGACAATCGGTTCCCATTGAGGGGTGACAGTGACCTTGTGCTGCATCTGGCCCAGATTAATCATGCTTGTCGTTTTTGTTACTTCATCTGTCGCTACCGATACCAACTGCTGGTAATACGACGTTTTCGTACTGGAATTCACCTGGAAATTTGAATACGAGATCGATAAACAACTTGTAAAGAGAATATGTAATAAGTTTCTGCGTGTTTTTTTGTAGCTTGACATTTCAGTCCCATCGATCGAACCTAATTAGTTTGTGTGTTTATAGATTATACAGGGTGACAGGTTGAACGGGATAAATATTTAAAGAGGCAAACGGGTAGCTGATATCTGACACGAATATGTAAAAACAATCGTAAACCCTCTGCCTCAACCCCTAAACATAAAAAAAATTGGTGTCATTTTACAAATGTATATATTAATTATCTTGTTCAACCTGTCACCCTGTATTGTAAACGTATTGTATTATTGACGCACAAAAATAATACAAAGACATTACATTTACTAACATTGTTATAACACGATCAAATTGTAACTATTTCTTTAATATGGTAATACATACCCATAAAAAAAAACAAAGCTATATTTCACAGATAAACAGGTCGGTTCTGATGATTAGAAGCTTCAAAAGCGCATAGACAAGGTTATTTAGTCATTGTAAGTTCTTGATTATTCCCCGATAATCATAACAATCTTTAGCGTACTGAATACATTCGCATTGCAGCAATAAGGTCATCATTTTTCAAAAGCAATAATTGCTATCATTAGCTTCAACGCATTAACATCACAAGATAGTTTACTTTTTGAACATGAGAACGGTTCAAGGATTTGACATGTCACTCTGAACGTCATTAACTTTCGGGAAAGAGCCAATTTCGGGAAAGAGAAAATTTTGGCCTCCAATAAATTGGGTTTACCGCTATTGCTTAAGCTTGTGGGAGTACCTTTTGTCTATAGTCATAGCATAAATAATTTGAAGCATTTAAAAATAAATTAATGCCTCCAAAAATAAAATTAGAAAGGGGTGGATGGAAGGACCAAAAAACGATTTTTGTATTGAAGTATGATGTCAACGTTCGCTTGTGCAGAAGAAGTAGAATGAAACCGCACTTTGATTCAAATCGTCTCGTAGCAAAGGCAGCACGTCCATTTCACATAACATGGGCACAGTGACTTTTGAGATTTGAAGTTTCTATAGATAAATATAAATATTAAACAACATCACATATGTTGCTATGATCCCAAAGTAAGTAGCTAAAGCACTTGTGTTATGAAATGCTTCTCCGCAGCCGGGGATCGAACCCGGGACTCCAGAGATGGTGACACCATGAAAAGCGGTGTGCAAGTCACTCGACCACTGAGGCCGTCTAAAAAGAGAAGTAGTGATGTGAAATCGAATGAAAAAAAAATTAAGAGGGAATGAATTTAGACACTAGTTTAAGAACAAATAATAAACACAACAAAAAGGTATCAATTGCTACGTTACTAAAAAACTACACAAGAAATTAAAAAAATCAACAACAAACAAACAAATTGTCAACAAAAAAGCATAAAATCAACTACAAATAAACGAAATTTGAACAATTACTCCAAAAAACATCACGCAAAGCTCAAAAGAAAAGAAAATGGGTCATTTTTGCGAGGTACACAATAACCGATTCGATGTATCGATACTAAGGCGTAAATCTCTATCGATAAATATTCCGTTTCACGCATTAAGTAATATATTTTTATAATTTCAGTTTCTGTCTACTTTACATACTGTATTTTTTTCTTAAAATTACAATTGAAACAAATATTGTTTGTTTTTAGTATATTACAACAAATTCACTAATTCTTTTCGTAACCTGATTGTAAAATAGTATGCATTATCTCAGATGTTAGGGACCACATGGATATCGAGAGGGAACGTAGGACGCTGGCGGTCAGATGTAATATGGTGGTTTACGAAATCCTGCTTTTTAAAGCGGATTACCAAGTTTTCTACACGTGCAGCTTTTGGACCGACTATACGCTGAAGACCATCAGCGCCCTACGAGTACAACAATGGTTTTCGGATATTGTTGGGGCTGCCACGTTTCTGCAGCACGTCAGGCATGTTTGCACTGACACACACGGATGGCTCGTATGCCATTACGCGTAAAGTCAGAATCATTGCTCTGCAGGTTCCGTGCCAGCTCCTACCCTATACTGGAAAAAATTGTCAGTGTAGGGTTGTAGAATGAAGCATAATTTATATTTCAACTGTGTTTTAATTTAAATCTTCTTTAGCACTACTAATATAGTTTTTAAGTATCCACATTGTTTACCCATCCTATGTGAAATGGACCATCAGATAAAACCATCGAATATGTAACCAGAAATAGAGACGAAATGTCATTTAATTTGTTTGAAAACTAATCTGCCATATAACTTGACCAGTTAACTTGACTTTGTATTGACCTTGGCTTTGCTGTAATGTAAAATAAAATTTAATTACTGATGAAATTTGATTCCGTTTGTTTTGTAATTAGGTGTTTTGCTGTTTTCCCCACACCCTCGAATGGAACAGCACGCCATTGTTAGAGATATTATCTTTATTACAATAAATCATTGACTTACAAATAAATGGACGACGGGTCTAATACAAAAACCACGAAAAAAATGTCCCAAGTCAACCTATTTAAACGTAGTGACATGTAAAGGAATATGAAAAAGCTAAAACGTTGAATTTAAATTGTAATGTCATCGCAGTACTGTCTAATTTTGCTCGCTTCGCTGTCAGTCGAACAAACGAAGACTAAAGTGTGAATGACGCTCTGTATACGATTGTAACGCCCTATAAGTTCGGACACTTTTTAGCGCGGACCGGACGTCCATATAATTGTAAGTCAATGCAATAAACACAGAATATTTTTGTAATATACGGAGACGTACACACTGGTCAGTTGTTGGCGCTGTCTACATTTCAGTGCAAACGAGAGTTGATATTTATAAGTGATGTATCACAGATGAGCTACCAGGAATGAATGGCCCTTATTTTGTCTTACTTCTGGTTATATACTCCATAAAGTAGTGCCTCTGGTATGTTCGTGGAGGCGCGGACTGACAGCGATACACTGGCCGGAATTACGCGCAGTCAATACTAACATTACTGATAAGGTCGCCTGTGTACTAACCTAAATACTAACCTAAAAAATTATTATTATTATTATGTCAATGTAGATAAACGACACTTACGTCAAGTATGTTGTCGCCAAGCACGAGTGTGACGCGGCCCGAGCGGTGAATACGGATCTTGCCAATCTTACCCTCGCCCATCTGTTTCAGGTGGCACCGGGTCTCCTCGGCCTGAGCAGGCATGCACCACAGGCGTAAAATTAAGACTGACAAAATAGACACGCGTGCTAGCTATGTTGCGATCGGCTGTCTATATAGACCACTTACTAAGACGTCCTACTTGCCAAATACACATATTTAAAAATAAAAGAGAAAAAATAATTTCATATTTTTGAATAAGGACTATTTTGGCTAGAGCTAGCTCACATAAAGGTGTCTCATTTTGAGTTAGGTAGTTAAATAGACATCTGTTAGTTGTTCTTTACGACATTCTGACGACGCCGGTGTTGTTGACGTGTAGAGAATCAAATAATAAAGAAGAGGAAACTAATGGAACCAAGACTCAACTACCATTGCAACTAAATTTTAACAGTATAGCAAATATTATCAAAATTCTCAAAGGAATTACAATGATAACTGGTTTAAAAAAAAAAATCAGAATTGGGCCCCTAGAAGGAGGCATTACGTGCAAGCTGACCTGTTTTTCGTCAACGTGACTGTTCTCAGCAGTTGCTGCGGCCGGGCCCTGCTTCCGTCGCGTCTCGTCTTCGGCTCCCACCCGCCCCGGCAGCGAATACGGCAGCTGTGCATTTAGAGCCACATTACCGTACAGACGCCACTACAATAACGGCGGAGAAACATAGCTACTTGCATTCATGTCCTAATAACACCTATACTCTAGCCAAATTCAATGTAGAATTTTTTTTTTTAATTAATACTCGTACATCTACCGGCTAAAGCACATAAGTCAAATTCATTTGTAACTTCATTCTAGAGGCGTCTTTTTCAAATTTATCGTTCTCTTCTCTTCTTATAATTATATATTAACAAATGAAGCACATTTTTGACTTATGTGCCTTAAGTCCGACGACCCTACAAATGTCAACAGACAATTTTTACAAATGTCAACAGAGATTTTTAGGGTTTTCCCCTCAAATTCGATTAACACGTTAAGCGCCACGTGTATACACACATCAAAAAAAGTTTGCGATCAATAGCATAAGCTCCTATAATTCTTTAAATTTAACTTTATCAAGAAAAAATCTATGTTGTATGC